TTTTTTCTTAGGCTTCTATATACCCATTATGATAAATTCATTGAAATTCCATTCCTTGTTCTGTGCTTTTCTAAGAGTCTCTTCAACAATTTTGTAAATTGAGCGTGTATTATTTATATCCATAGCCTCTCTCATAATCCTTTCACCAATAAATTTGAGAAGCTGAGATTTACCTTGTTTTACGCTATCTATTCCTTTTATGAAAAGGTTTTTCGGTTTAAAGTTTACTTCATCTTTATGTCCAATCTCAAAATACTTCTTTTTGCCAGTAAAGCAAACAGGAAATAATATCTCTTCATATGCCATATTTAGATAAGAGGTCCTACTTTTTATCCTAAGATAGGTATTTATTTGATTATGCAACTTTTCCATCACAACCATAGTAATTTTGACTATTTCATCCCAGTACACTTCTTTGGAAAGTTCTTTTCTAGAGAAGGCCTCATCGTATTTATTGTAATACCTATCTGGGCAAGTAAGATACAAAAAATCAGTATCACCGTATTTTATCCCAAACTCTTTCTTTGTTACAAATTCTGCCACAAGATTAAGGTTGTATTTTCCTGCTGAAGTAGTTTCTCTAGCTAATGTACGAAGAAAGATTGAAGATTTTGAGTTTCCGGCCTCCTTATAGAAAGTATTCATATATACCTTTAGAGCTTTTTGCTTTGAATCAAAATAATTGTAATCGAAACATACAGATAAATATTCTAAATTTAAACTCTCTGGAATCCTTTTGCCTCTTTTTTTAGCTGAACTTATCATCTTCCCAAGTTGTTCTTTTTTCTTTCCTAATGAGGCAAGATGTGCTTTAAGCTCTACTCTCTTGTTGAATAAATCCTCTAATACAACAGGATATAAACCCTTCTTTTCGAATTGATTATCATGCCTTACACTCCAAGCTTGGATGATGCGGTTATTAAATAGAAACTCAATCTTATGCAACTTGCTTCCATTATTTTGCACAATATCAGCCTCTCTATGTGTTAGTATTATTTTATCTGGAGAGAGATTGTAAGCTATAATGAGACTGGGATATAATGAAGCAAAATTCTAATCCCATTATAGGTCTTCTCGTTTCAATCTCTTTTTTAGGTAGAAATACGTACGCGCCAGGATACTTACCCTTTTCTGTGTTTTCAGATATCTTTGTGCTAATTACCATATCTCGTTTAAAAGCGTAAGCACCCAGAAGGTTTTGTACCTTCATTCCATTTGCACAGTAGTGTGAGTCGAATAAAAATACATAAGCTATTGAAATGACTTCTCTGTAATCATTTATTTGACTTAGCTTGACCAAAAGCTTTTGACAGCATAGTGCATCTATAATACAGTAATATGCTACTTCACGCATATTTCTCACAGTTGACGAGAAGGAGCTTTTTTTTGCTTCTGAATAGATTTTCCATATTTTATTATATAGCATGTCGGCCTTAGTCTTAAGACCACATTTTTCTAAGAAGAATTGAAGTGAACCTTCTTTTTCGACTTCAGAATGAGGGAAACATCTTTTGAGGCACACCCAGGCATCAATTGGTATGCAATCTGGCAGTTTAAGAAAGCTAGAAGTAAAATCTTCTTCTGCACTAATTTTGATTTTAATTGGACCGCCCATATATTCTTTCTTCTCTGGATCCTCCTCGCCTTCCTCAGAAGGCTTAACAGCATTCTTTGTCTTAAAAACATTTTCAGATTTCACTTCTATCTTTCTGCGATATTTCTATTTTAGGATTTCTTCCTTTGTTTCAAACTTTCCTATCTATTCGAGTATATTGA